GAAAAAAAAAACACGTATAATAGGTTCATCGAAAGTTGAAAAAGATTTAAAATAATGGAAGCACTAAAAAGGGAAAACACTCAATAACATTAACTGTGCACACGGCCACAATGTGATGACAGTATTTGGAAAATAAAACATTCCTATAACATCAGATACATACATAAAAGATCCACAAATTCAGTTGAAAATAAGAACTGTCCCTAATTTTGGCTAAAAGAATTGTTGAAATCGTTTGGAAATGCAGAACATTTCGACAGTTTTTAGACACTTTATGCCCAGAAAAGAAAAAAAAACTAGTACGTAAAAACGAATTAAATAAAAAAAATCTTAATCATAGTGTCGTGTTAGTCAGTCACACACACACACACACACACACACACACACACATATATATATATATATATATATATAATATGTGTGGGTGTCTGGCATATCAATCATGAGACGTGAGCATGAAATGAGATATGTAGTAAAGTTATGAAAAAATGAAAATACTTTTAATACACCTTAATATTATTATAAAAAGTAATAATATCTCTGATTCATAATATATCGATTATATGTTTTTATAGACATTTATTTCATACACGAAATGTAAAAACTATTATATGACGGAGGTCGTTCAATTTTTATGTCATTTTTTAAACCCACCAGTAAAGATTCGCTTACAATTTGGGAGTACGTGTAATTTATCCATTATCATTATTATTATTATTATTGTTATTGTTGTTGTTATTGTTGTTGTTGTTGTTGTTGTTGTTGCTGCTCTTCTTCTTCTTCTTCTTCTTCTTCTTCTTCTTCTTCTTCTTCTTCTTTTTCTTCTTCTTCTTCTTCTTCTTCTTTCCTTTGATTTATGTTGTATACACATTTCCTTCCAGGTTCAAACCAGCGACTTAAGGTCTGAAATGTTTTCATGACATTTCCCACTGACCATTTTTGTAAAAAAAAAAAACAAAACAAAAAAATCACCGAAAATCTTACACATTTTACACACATAAAGCTCCTCGTAATGTTTGAGGTCTACTTGTGAGTACATTTTTGTATTTCTTTCGACATGGACTACCAGGGAACCCGTCAATGAGTCTATCGGAATGTTTTTCCACTCAAACCGAAGGCTCCAACTACAACTGGAATTGTTGATGTCATCAGATGCTACATTTTTGAGATTTACATTTCCAGATACTTGTACTTTGATAGTTTTAATATTATTACTATTATTAATATTATTAGTATTAGTAGCATTAGTATTAGTAGTAGTAGCAGTATTAATATTTTGTTGTTGCTACCTAAAGCAAACACAGGTTGTTGTTTTGGTCAAAACCATTATACCTAATGAATTCTGTTGTTTCATATTTCGAAACTTAGTGTTCGAATGACTTGACATGTTTATCGACGCTGGGAAAATCACATTTTTTATTTAAAAATATTTAGAATATATCATGCTCACCTCTTCAACACATAGGTAATAGATAGGCATTTCTAGTCAGTTAAAACTAATGTCCTTGGGAAAAGAATCTATCCATACATATACATAGATACATACATACATACATATATATGCGTTCTTCGCCATTATCAGATACAGTAACAAAAACGCTCTGTCAATGTCATTTGAAATAATCTCTCATTTTATATATATACATATATACAGAGTGTCCCCAAAAATGTATGTACGCTTTAACAGCTGATAGCTTAATTGATATTTCTTTCTTTTTTCTGTTTCATTTGTAAAAACCATTAGAATTAATGATGCTATACTAACTAAGAATCTGAACAAAGGAGTTTTTTTTTCTAAAATGCTACTGGAAGTGAGAAAACTCAGTTGAAGTACAACGAGAATTTACGATTGATTTTCAAACAGATCTACTGAGGCCATTTACCATCTCTCGAATTAGAGATAAGTTTGAAGCCGATGAAACTGTGCAGAATATCCTCGAGAAACGTTCCGGAAGTCCACTGACATTGACAATCCCCACAACGCAAGAAATACTATGGCAAACGTTTAACCGAATCCAAGAAAATCTGTACGGCAAGCAAGTCGTGAGGTAGGTATTACAAAATCATCTGCCTGTTGAAGTGCTGTCAATGGGAAAGTTACATTTCAAAATTAGTCATTGCTATTAATGGCGATGATACAGGAGTTAGAGCTTACTTTGATGAGATCTTGTGAAACAGGTGGATTGGTTTCGTAGAATAACCTCACATTCACAACACAATCCCAACCACTACAATTTATTATGAGGATACTTGAAAGACAAAATCTAAGCTGTGTAGCAACGGAAGAAAAACTGAGAGCAGCCATTGAACAAAAATGCACAAAAATACCAAACGAAATGTTTGGAGATATTTGCGATTCCATTTAAAGAAAAACAGACCACTTTAAGGCTATAACACACACATTATCTATCTATCTATCTATCTATCTATCTATCTATCTATCTATATATATATATATATATATATATATAAATGTATTTTATATATATATAAATGTATTTATATATATATAAATATATATATATATACAAATATTTATATATATATATATATAAATGTATATATATATATATATATATATAAATGTATGTATATATAAATGTATATATATATAAAAATATATATATATATATATATAATGTATATATATATATATATATATATATATATATATATATATATATATATATATATAATGTGTAATGTGTGTTATAGCCTTAAAGTGGTCTTTTTTATCTTTAAATTATTAGCTCTGAATTTACATTGAGCTCTCAGGATTTCATCCTCCTTGAGACTACCCATACGGATTATCAAATTTTTCGTAACTTAACTATATACATACGTACATATATATATATATATATATATATATATATATATATATATATATATGTGTGTGTGTGTGTGTGTGTGTGTGTGTGTTTTGTGTATATGTGTGTGTGTGTGTGTGTGTGTAGGGAAGAGCGTGTTATCTTGCGTGATCAACAATTTGAACAAGGCCAGCACGCTCAAGCCCTCGGTCACGATGACTTGAAACTTCGTGCTAGCACAACTATCGACGGCCCCCGGGGGTTTCGTTTACTCAGTTTCACTCACAAGGCTTGGCTCAACCAGTGGCATGGTTTTTTGGCACTTTCCAAAGCTGCCGCACGCTGGGATTGACCCCTCCAGTCCGATGACAACAAGAAGTCTCCGAGCATATGTCGACAAAATCAAAAACAAACAACGTGCATGCGCGATATTAAATATATAAATGGCGACAATTTACCCTTCGAACCATATATATATATATGAAGAAAAATATACGGAAAAAACAAAAAAAAATCCTTATATACAATGATGCTGTTTTAATGTTAATATGTCAACGTCGGACGTTTCGGTCTAATAAACCATCTTCAGGACATATTCATAAAATATAATTAAGATTATCAATTCAACATGACAAAGACGATATACATAAGAACAAAGATGAAGATGGTTTATTAGACCGAAACGTCCGACGTTGACATATTTTCATTAAAACAGCATAATCGTATATAAGGATTTTTGTTTGTTTTTTCCGTATATTTTTCTTCATACTGTCGAATCTATATCCATATATTTGATTGCATATATATATATATATATATATATATATATATATATATATATATATATGCACTAAAAAGAGCGAACTAATACCTTATACAAGAAAGAGGTTCCGGACAAGGAAAGAAAAGAGAAAAATGACGCATGGCCTAGTGGATAAAGGCGTTGATTATACCCAGTAACTAGCCCCAATGAGTTGTGATTTCAATAGCAAGGCACAGCAGGGGTGAACCAAACTTGATGAGTTGAGTTAAAGGGAAATAACAGAGACATTCAGAAGAGTCATGGTACGTGGAAATAGAACGGTGGTGAAGTAAAAGTTTCGAATTTCCAATCACCTGAAGAAGAGCGTGCAACGACAGAAACATTGTGAATATGGCAATGAAGATGAGAACAACAGTCCGAATAATGTAAATAAAGAGTTATAACAGCTAGGAAAATATGTACAGAGGTTGAGCAAAAAAAAAAAAAAAAACATGGAAGAAGGGAATGTTATGAAAAGAAAGGCTGGAACGGATAGAGAAAATAGTGGCTACAAAGATAATGAAATAGGAGAAAAGACAATAAGAAAAGAAAAGCAAAGAAGGAGAAGGAAAGGAAAAGAAAGAAAGTGAATTATTAGGTTGGTGCAAAAATAATGACGTAATAATGTCGTTTTTGGACGTATTTTTTAACGTCAAGAAACGACATTATTACGTCATTATTTTTTGCACCAACCTAATAAAAGAAACGCGATTTGTTGTAGAATATGAAGTAGATAAGATTCAAACATTTATTACTAATTCTGTCCCCTCATATTTGCTATCTGGTAAGAGGAATTTGACATAAAACTGAAAGTATATGGCGTCATATTTTCAGAAAGTGTTTCGAAAGATAAATGGTAACGAAGCCAACAAACAAAAGACAGAATAACTGAAAGAAACAAAGAATGATTAAATGAAAGAAACAGAGAAAGAGGCAAGAATGAAATTAAAAACAATTTGTTTAAGAATGAAAGAAAGAAATAATGATAACGTAGGTAAGAAAGAAAGAAAGAAAGAAAGAAAGAAAGAAAGAAAGAAAGAAAGAAAGAAAGAAAGAACTTACGATAGGAAGAAGAATGGAGTGGTTGAAAAAAAAGAAAGGCACAAAATATGATTTACGAATGAAAGAAATAATAAATGAATTAAACAGTTAAAAAAGAAAGAAACAAAAAATACGTGATTTAAGAATGAAACAAAGGATGAATTAATTAAAATTTTAAGAAAGAAAGAAAGAAAGGGAAAACTTAATTTGTTTTAATAATGAAAGAAGTAATGAATGCATCAAAAAATTTAAGATGTAAAAAAGAAAGAAAGAAAAAAAAACACTATGTGATTTAAAAATGAATTAAATAGTTAAGGAAAGAAGAAACGAACCTGAGAGTGTTGGAATTATGGAAAGGATGAGTTAATTAAATATGTTAAGAAAGAAAGAAAGAAAGAAAGAAAGAAAGAAAGAAAGAAAGAAAGAAAGAAAGAAAGAAAGGAAAGGTCGAAGATTAAGAAAGAAGGATTAAGACAGAAGGAAGGAAGGAAGAAAGGAAGGAAGGAAGGAAGTAAAAAAGGAAGAAAGGAAATAAAAAAAAAAGAAAGAAGCTATTTTGAGATCTAGTGTCTGAGATTGACAAGGAAATATTAAAGATTAAAAAAGACGGTGAAAGAAAGAAAGAAAGAAAGAAAAAAGAAAGAAAAAAGAAAGAAAGAAATACTGAGTGTTTTACGACTGAAACAATCAATAAATGAAATAAATATTAAAGAATGAAAGAAAGAACGTGTGAATGAATTGAAATGTTAAGAAAAAAGAAAGAAAGAATGTGAATGTTGGGTTGTTTAATAATGAAAAAAAATGATGAATGAATTAAAACCTTAAGATAGAAAGAAAGAATGAAGGAAAGAAAGGAAAACAAAACTAATTGGTTTGATAATCAAAAATACAACAAATGAATGAAAAGGTGAAAAAAGAAACAAAACTGAGTGGGTCAGAATTAAAGAAAAGATAAAATAATTCAAATGTTAAGAAAGAGGGAAAGAAAGATAGAATGCAAGAAAGAAAGAAAGAAAGAAAGCAAGAAGGAAAGAACGCAAGAAAGAAAGAAAGAGAGAAATCAAGAAAATACGAAAGAAAGAAAAAAGAAAGAACGAAAGTGTGAAAGAAAGAGAGAAAGAAAGAAAAAAGAAAGAAAAAGGATAAAGCAAGAAAACATGAAAAGAAGAAAAAAGAAAGAAAAAGAAAGAAAGAAACATAAAGACGTAACGGAAAAAAGCATTTAAAAAAATTTAAGAAAAACTAAAAAGATAAAATGAAATGATCAAGTGAAGAAGCATCAAAATGGAAAAAAATAAAAAAAATAGTGGAAGTGGGAGTGGCCATAAATAAATGGCGAATGAAATCTATAAAATGAAGCACAAAAGAGGGAAGGAAGCAGTAACGAAAAAACCAGGTCATTGGTTAGAATAGAAGAAGAACGAGAAACACAAAAGAGATGCACTCAACAACAACAAAAAAAAAAAAAAAGAAAAAAAGAAGAAAAGAAAAAGAGAATAATGATAGAAGATCATTTTAGTATTTTAGAAAAAAGACTGAAGCGTGGAATCAAGAGAAAAAAACAGTCCGAACTTGTAATCAAAATTTGGTTATTGCCGGTCAGGTTTCATTGTCAGTGATTCACGGCTTTTCGTATCTTCTGCAGAAAGAGGAAGAGGGCTGTAGTCTCATTTGACAGGAGTCAACGGGTTCAGTGCAAAAGCGCGCTGTCAACTGAATGATACGTTTTTTCTTTCTTGGCTCACAAGCTGCTGTCTTATCTTAAATAAAAAAAAACAAACAAACAAAAAAAAAAAAGAACGAACGTCAATTAATTGTCAGAGGATCATGAATTGAACTTCCAAAGGTCAGCACGTATCTCAAGACAATTTTAGTTGCAAACGAGGCGTAAAGATCGACCCAATAAAAATCTCATTTTTTTTTTAGTTTTAATCTTATTTATGTAAATTTTATTATCCAAAATTTACCATAAAAATTGATTCTTCTATGAAGATATCAAACGAATCGCAAAATTATTCATCGCAAAGAATAACGACAAAATTTTGAGTGTGCACATTGATCAATATATATATATATATATATATATATATATATATATATATATATATGGATATATATATATGTATATGTATGTATGTATGTATGAATGTATGTATATATAAGAATACAAAATATAAGATAGTATATTATAAAAGTAGGCTGTAAACAGCCGCGCTTAAAAGGTGCAATAAAAAAGCGCTTAATACAGAATTTCCCAAAATTTGAATTTTAGATCAAAATTTAATCAGGATCAGCAAAACTCAAACTACCACACTTCGGTTTCGGCAGTTAGGTCTCCTCGGCCAAGTAGAATGTCTTCTGGTATTCGTATATAATGGTGGAGGAATCAACTAAAATATTTCATTTTACTTACCTGAGGAAACCTAACGGTCGAAACTTTGGTAATGCGGTAGCTTGAGTCTTAGTGTTCATTATTATACATATTCATTATTATACATATTCATTATTATACATATTCATTATTATACATATTCGAGACATCTTAGTTAATGAAATCCATTTCCCGACAGTGTTCAAGCCTGCGAATTACTTTTTGATTCAGTGTACTTTATTGCTCGGCCACGTTTGAATTAAGAAGAACGCCGCTGTAAAATATTTCAATAATTCTTCATCTATATATATATATATATATATATATATATATATATATATATATATATATATATATGGTGTTACTAGTTTGAAAAAACTCGGATAGATTAACTTGTAGTAGAACAAATCGGTACCCGAGGAAAATGGGAAAAAAAAAAAGAAAGAACCAAGAACATTAAAACAAGGCAAAAACTATCGCCAAGTGTTTAAGCTCCAAGTTCAAAAAAAAAAAAAAAAAACAACACGAGTAAAAACAGGAGTTTTTCTTTTTTCGTCGTTGGCTGAGCAATAAAGTAGCATAACCCTTGTTGTTTGTCTTATTTATTTTATTTCATTTTATTGTCACGTGGTTATCCTTTTTATCAATAAATAATGATCCGTAATTTTCCTCTCTACTCAGCTTTGCCCTGAAGATCCGTTTAGGTGAAACTTAGGAAGTTTTGCCTGGTTCCTTAGGATTACTATATATATATATATATATATATATATATATATATATTATAAATTAATTGATTTAAAATATGTTTTTTCGCTACACAGTTATAACCATGTTTCAAAAATGGAAGCTGAAAGCTCCGAATTTAATTTTGCAATTAAATTAAAGACATTAGTTCCATTTCATCCTCAAGCGAATTTTGGAGTAACTTTTAAAATTACTGGGTTTTAAAGACACAGCAAAAATCATTCAACCAGACTAGGGGTGGTTGCGTGTTCATTATCGCTGTATTTTGATGTATCAGTTATTAGTTACGTTTTGGTATATTACAAAGAGTTAATCATAACTTGAATCAATTAGCAATATTAATATTGCTAATTGATTCAAGGTATGATTAACTCTTTGTAATATATTGTAATATATGCTGTCTATTTTATTATATATATATATATATATATATATATATAGCCACACTTGTTTCCCTGAGCATGCCTGTACGCACTCCCCCTGTACATATATATATATATATATATATATATATATATATATATATGGATGCACGTGTGTGTGTGTGTGTGTGTGTGTGTGTATTCTGGAAGATTTTTTAAAAATTTGACAGATGGATGTTTCATGAAAATAGATTTGATTGAAAATAGATTTGAATATGCATTCGCCATTCAAGGTTTCATCAGTTCCAAAAACGAAAGAATGAAAATGTATATATATATATATATATATATATATATATATATATATATATATATATATATATATATGTGTGTGTGTGTGTGTGTGTGTGTGTATGCTTAAATTTTGAATGATAGGACTTTTTCCTTAAACTGCCGTTTCTCATGATTAAAGAAGAAAGAAAATAAGGGGCTTAAAATAGTCGTTAATATTTATTCTGCATCTTTTTTTTATAATCCTTAGTTCATGTACTTAAATGTATTTCCCCAGATTTTTGCATGGAATTAACGGCAAATCTTCCTCTCATTACCAGCATATTTCGAAAGCAAGAAATTCATTTAGCCTTTTTTGAAATGAATCCAAGCCAAAAGGCAAATCCTCATACAATCATTCAGAATGGGTTGGAAGTAAAAGATTTTCTTTTTGGTCTATCCATGCAATTTCCGTATCGAAAGTTATGTTTTTAATTTAGAATATAGAAAAATCCCGACAAAGGTTTAAAATTGGAGAGATGGAAACGTTTCATGAAAATAGATTTGATAACGCATTTCGCCATTCAAGGTTTCAAAACCAAAATCAAAAAACAAAATAAGAAAATATGCATCCAGTAGCCTATCTCTATTAGGCGAAACAATTTACCGCAGTACCCGGTGTACCCCGAGTGGTACTGGACCCCAAGATTTCGCTCTCGCAACCTCAATAACGCTCACTTTTTAAAAATTCCACCCTATTTTACCAATTTCTGGGTCATCTTCTTCACGACATACAGAACAAACAGCGATCATTGGATGTGTTCTGATTTTTTTTAATAATTACACCCCGTTTTCATACGTTTTACCTTGATTTTGATGATCAAACAGACCAAATTTTGCCTGTTTCACACCTAATTCAACTGTATTGGTAATATTAGGTTGGTGGAAAAATAATGACGTAATAATGTCGTTCTTTGACGTTAAAAAGTACGTCAAAAAACGACATTATTACGTCATTATTTTTGCGCCAACCTAATAATTACACATAATTACTTTACTATTTAGAGCGTGATCAAAAAGTTGCAAATAAATTTAATTTCTTATACTTCACACTTTCCGTGTTGGTCTTTTCGTTTTACAAAGTCGGACTACTTTTCAAACTAGACCATAATGCATTACAAGATGAAGTACTTTTGAGAAAAGTTAAATTTTATTGTATAAAATAATCTGCTATAAAACACTGAACTAATTTGAAATTTCGGATAATTTACTATTTAAGCCACGCGCTAAGTATCTAATAAAAAATTCCAGAATAGTTATATTTACATGTAAATTTATATGCTTAATTCGAAAATAGCAAAGAAATTTTGATAAAATCTACCCTTTTGCAGATATCGACAAAAAAGTCCAGATTGATTCGCGTCGCGGCAGCAATTACTGGCATTGTTTGCATATATTTGCTGCGAAAGTGACATGGACTTGTATCGATTATTGCGCACGCATGCCAACAACACCAATAATAGTTGCCGTGCCGTAGCCGACAACGACTCGAATGAGTCCGAAATTTTATTGTCAATATGTCCAAAACGGTAGATTTTATAAAAATTTCTTTGTTATTTTCGAATTAGGCATGTAAATTTAGAATAAAATATAATTTTGGGGGAAATTTTTATTAGATAATTGGCGCGGGGCTTAAAAAGCAAATTACCCGAAATTTCTCATGTAATCATTGTCATGAATTAGTATAATTTTTGGAGGTTTTTTCGACCCATTATCTGCGGTATATATCAAGAAATAGGGCATATAGGGCCCCGAAATCAGGTAGGTGTTCAAACTCCTTGCAGCGCACATGTAATTATACTTATATATCTTCAGTGGACTATTATTTCGTTTTTTCTTATTTGGATTGGTTGTATCATAAGTATTATGTTGGAGGTTAAATTTCGAATTAAATATATTTATTATATTTTGCGTTTATATGCATATCTCTGTATTTATACGTACGTTTGCACATCTATGCATGCATGGATATAGGTATACCTATACTATTTACATTATTCGGACTATTGTCCTCATCTTTGTCAATTGCCAGTTATCTCCTGTTAATTCCCCCTCTCCAAGTTTTCCACTGCCATAACCAGGTATTGAACTCACACTTTTTCGCTCCTGTCACTGGATCTAACGTACGCTTCTATCAACTGTGCTATGTGTCCTTGATCTCAGAAATATAGTCAGGTATACCTATGCACGTATATATGCATATAAACGCCCGTACATGTATACTTATGTATGTACTTTGTTAATAATCTACTGCTTAAATGTTGAAATTATTTTATTTTTATTTTTAGGGTATTAATTATGGCTGGTTCGGTTAATAGAATATAAATAAGTTTGGATAAATTCAACAGACCAGGGTTGTCGTTTTAATTTTTTATTTTATTTTTACAACTTAAAAAAAAAAAATAAAAAACCAACATGATCTTTGGACAGTTTATACCAAATTTCGGTCCATATATACCATAAATGTTTCGAAAAATAGTAGAAACACAATTTAAAACCAACATCTCGTGTCATTTGAATTTTATAAAACCCTTTGCGATGAATGGTACATTAAACATACCTTTATAAAATTCTACATTATTTCTTATAGATAACCATTATCACCCACGAAATGAATAAACATAATATATATATATATATATATATATATAACGTCATCCACAGACAGAGTGTTTCGCTGCTTACAGCTCATCAGTGTGGCTAGACATCTAGTTAGGATCGAAACCCGACTGAATTGGTGTCAGTCGGAGCTTCTAACCACTAAGCCGTCGTATATATTTCCTCTATTTTAGGATATTACTATTCGAGAATACGTTAAAGATATTAACATGGAGTCAAGCCCCAAACAAGTACGGGTTGTCTGCTACATTTGACTAATCTGTAACTTCTTTGTTGTGAAGGTTGATTTTTCTTGTATTTGGTTAGTCCAGTGGTAGTCGTTTATCTCGTATACCACGAGCTATTCTACCTTTACTGCTTGGGCATTTGTATAGCTATACTAATGAGGCAGTTATTTTCATATTACTGCATATCCCTAAACCTCAGGAGTCTCATGTCCCAGATACCGTCTGTCACTTCTTTTGAACATTATTTCGTTTTCGTGGTTTCTTTGTCTTCTTCAGTCCTCGACTCTTTCAAAGTTTCAGAATAGTCATCATGGCCATCTTTATCATCCATACTTTCATCCTCAAACATTTCATTCTGTAAAGGTGGGCTTCGCTTTTGTTTTAGAAAATCATTATTTGAAATATCAGTTGGCATTTCTTCCTTATCCCCTTCCACTTTCTTCGCTGTCCCTTAGTTTCTTGGTTCTCGAAATTGCAAAAAAAAAAAAAAATAAATAAATAAATAAAAACCGATACCTATCGGCGATGCCAAAGTTATGAAGTGGAATTTCCTTCGCATTTTATTAGTCCAGTGGCAGACGTTTACCTTGCCTACCGAGAGCGTGATTTTTCGTAGCTGCCGAATGTGACACAAGGTCAGTTTAAAATGGACTTAACTGCATTACCATAGCGAAAATTATCAAGCACCCACAGACACCGGGCAATAAACCCACCCCCTATCGAAGGATAGGTATTCCATGGGTGATACGCACTTGCGCTTGAGCAAATATTACATACAGAGAGCTAGTCTACACTTACTGCTTAGGAATGTATATATGATATGTCCCGGAAAGGGATATATTTGATCGAAGTAGCTATGTGGTATTGGCTACTGTAACCAAGTAGAATACGGTAGCAGTAATCGACTGGTACTTGTCGTAGTCGCAGGTAATAAGAGTAGACCAATAGAATAGCCAATGGCGTAGTCCAATGGGCGTCGTCATAGACTTAAACTCTGTCGTACCTACACGTCCGTCTGTATTTATGACGGACACCAGCCAATTATATTCCAGTGAGAGGGAACTCAGGTGTATGCATTTTCCATTATATCAATATAGTCTATGCCTTAGTTAAACTAATTAGACAGCTATTTACATATAACTATATTCTAACGTACCTCAGCTACACATATATGGCTCTGGTGATATTTTCGGTATTTTTGTTGGGGAAAGTTGCATTCTATATAACATTATATCCAGTAGATACAACGCTTAAACATTAGCTTAGATTCATATGCCTCCTCTGTTTGCATTTAATATTAGAGCATTATGGAATCAGGCTGTTCATTATCTCTTCTCTACTCTTCTACGTTGTCTTCATCATCGTTCCTCTTTTTTCTCCGTTTGCAAATTTTTGAGATTATAATAGTAAATCTGACAAAACAGTTGTCTTTAAATGGTTGTAATTTTTGTTTATCTTCCACTCTCAGGGATTAAGTTGAACATGACATTTACCGATATTACGCTATTAGGCAAAACATCGGAACTTATCCACTTAAGGTTGAATTACAAAATGACGGGGAAATTGTGGATTTCGACTTATAAATTATACATTCAAATCTTGACGGGAGAGCTATCAGATTTTGCGTAGATTTTCACCCCACACTGTAAGAGAAGATATTTCGAATACAGCTCGACATGAAGCGTTTTCGACACTAAATACTTTCCGTGGTGCCTAAGATATTTATATACTTGTCAACGGTGCCAGCAATCGGTGTTCCATACAAGATATAACCAAGAACTTTGAAATTTGATTTTCATGACAATCAGGAATATAGGTACAATAGAATAAGTTACTCTACCGTTAGTTTCACGTAATATTGCTAGTTGCTACAAAGCCAAAACGTCAACCTTTATGCTCGAGTCTAATTTTTAAATAGCCTCGTCAGATGGAGAATTTCCCATGCATGTCGTACATGGCACCAAAAACTGTCAGCTGTATACAATCCCTTCGTCTGATCAATGATTAAAAATTGCTTCGAGCGAACGAAGTCTGCAGATCTTAGCGATGACAATACTTCGAAGTTTGTGGACTGGTGCTAAACAATCGTAAAGAACTTCATCAATTAACAGAAACTGCATTACTTGAGGAGTTTCAACAGCAGCAACAACTAAAGTAGATAGCACTTGTAACTCAAACTATCTCTTAATACGGTGTTTAGTTTCTGCAATGCATTCTTATGTATTTTCAAATTGCCTCTGTTTCTTTCTGACTGGACGTACTAGGTTCACTGTAGTTCTTACTTATCTGAAAACCTCTTCGTTGGTCACATAGTATTCTCAGTATTATGCTCCCTGACTTGAAAGTCTATTGGAACTGAAGCTCACGCCAGAATTCAATTGGAACTCTCATCTAAGAAACTATTGGAAAATATGATGGAAAAATGGTGTGTTCCTTGTACCATTCCAGAAAGTACCTGACTCCTTCTACCATGGTCTATCTTTACAAGAGTCAGGTCAGACCAAAAATATATTATTGCTGGCATATCTCAAGGCTTGGAAGAGTTCAAAAACGTCTACGCAGCCTTCGGGGTGAAAAATGTTTCCAAACTACAGAGTAGACGTTTCTAACCTCTCGCTATTTCCATAGCAAAAGTTCAGGCGATATACGTTCCTTAGTTCCGCCAATTCAAGCATTCACATCTTGGAACCTCCCTGCCTCGTACACAGGGTGGAATCATCTTCACTACTTTCGTATTCCATTGGTAGAGAGGAAGTTCCATACAGGGAAAATCTTCCTCAGAACTTGTACTTTGTGAAACAGACACCAGAGAGGATGCTTCCTTGATCACTATGATGTTAACTTCTTTAAGTCTGGGTTCAACTGTTATCTATAGCTATATATCCTCATAATCGGAATTTAGGTGTTTCTTTTATTTCCATACAACACGTCCATTCAGTAATCCTATACTTAGAACGGTTCTTGGGCCTTCTGAGTCGGGGTGTACACTAGCTAGGCTTCGCATGGCAAGACATCTTGAGTCAGTATGGGCACCAGCTAGACTTCCCATGTCAAGAATAAGTGACACCAACTAGGCTTCTGATGGTAAGACATCTCGAGTCAGTTTTAACACTAGCTTGTTTTCTCATAGGAAGTCATCCTGAGGCAGTGTGAAGAGCTGCTAGAATTCTCATCACAACGTGTCCTGCCATGAGAATCCCAGTTACTTTGGCTTCTCATGGCAAGGCATCCTGAAAAATCGGAGCATGATAGTGGGTGCCAGACGAAGAGTATATTAAATTTTGGATATTTTTCGTGTGGGGGAGCATATAACATGCCAAAATCTCTATATCTTACATATTCTCATAATCTGACTTAGGTGTTTTTTTTTACTTATATACAACAGTAACACAATATTTACAAGGATTTGGGGGCCTTATGAGTCGGTGTGAATATTAGCTAGGCTTCTCATGGCAAGGCATCTTGAGTCAGTGTTGTCAACAGCTAGGCTTTGCATGGCAAGGCATCTTGAGTCAGTGCGGACAACGGCAAGGCTTCGCATGGCAAGGCATCTTGAGCCAGGGTGAAAAACAGCTAGGCTTCTCATAGCAAAACATCATGAGTCAGTGTGGACAACTAATAGGATTCGCAGGGAAAAGCATCCTGACCGTGTGGGCATCGTCTAGGCTTCTGTTGTCATGACATCGTGAGTTAGTGTCAACGCCAGCTACGCTTCTCCGAGTCTGTGTGAACACTAATTAAGCTGCTCATAGCAAGGCATCTTGAGTCAGTGTGGACACTAGCTAGGTTTCTCATGGCAAGGCATCATGAGTCAGTGTAGACAACAGCTAGGCTTCTCATGGCAAGGCATCTTGAGTCAGTGTAAACAACAGCTAGGCTTCTCATAGCAAGGCATCTTGAGTCAGTGTAGACATCGTCTACGCTTTTATTGTCAAGGCATCGTGAGTAAGTGTGGACACCAGAAACGCTTCTCCTGGAAAGGCAAGCTGAATCAGTGTGAAAACTAAGTAGGCTGCTCATGGCAAGGTATCTTGGGTCACTGTGGACACCAGCTAAGCATCAGATGGCAAGGCATCTTGAATCAGTTTGGACAACAGCTAGACATCTGATGGCAACACAGCTTGAGTCAGTGTGGACAACAGCTTGCCTTCGCAAAGCAAGGCATCTTGATTCAGTGTGGACTACAGCTAGACTTCTCATGGGGAAGCATCTTGAGTGTGAACACGGTCTAGTCTTCTATTTTCATGACATCGTGAGTTAGTTTGGACACCGGTTAGGCTTCTTCTGGGAAAGCAAACTGAGTCTGTGTGAAGACTAATATGGCTGCTCATAGCCATTCATCTTGTGTCACTGTGGACACCAGCTAGGCTTCTCATGGCAAGGCATCTTGAAACAGTGTGGACCACAGCTAGGCTTCGCATTGAAAGGCATCCTGATTTTGTCTGGGCATCATCTAGGCTTCTATTGTCATCGAATCTTGAGTTAGTGTGTACACCAACTACGCTTCTCGTGGAAAAGCTAGCTGAGTCTGTGTGAATATTAATATGGCTGCTCAAGGCAAGGCATCTTGAGTCAATGGGGACACCAGCTACATTTCTTATGGAAAGACATCTTGAATCAGTGTGGATAACAGCAAGGCTTCTCATGGCAAAGCATCTTGAGTCAGTGCAGACAACAGCTAGGCTTTGCATTAACAGGCGTCCTGATTTAATTTGGGCATCGTCTAGGCTTCTATTGTCATGGCATCGTCAGTTATTATGGGCAAAAGCTAGACTTTTCCTGGAAAGGCAAAGTGAGTCGCTGTGACTTCTAATTAGGCGGATCATAGCAAGGCATCTTGAGTCAGTGTGGACACCAGCTAGGCTTCTCATGGCAAGGCATCTTGCGTCAGTGCGGACAACAGCTAGGCTTTGCATTGAAAGGCATTCTGAGTCAGTGTGGGCATCGTCTAGGCTTCTATTTCCATGGCAATGTGAGTTAATGTGGACAACATCTACGCTTCTCCTGGAAAGGCAAACTAAGTCTGTGTGAACACTAATTAGGCTGCTCATGGCAAGGCATCTTGAGTCAGTGTGGACATCAGCTAATCTTCTCATGGCAAGGCATCTTGAATCAGTGTGGAAAACACCTAGGCTCATGGCAATCATCTTGAGTCCGTGTGGACACCATCTAGTCTTCTCATGGCAAGGCATCTTGAGTCATTGTTGACAACAGCTATTCTTCTTATGGCAATGCGTCGTGA